GAAGTGAAGAAACACACACGACTGAATGAAGCTGTTCCAGTCGTGTGTCTGTTCGTCCTGCTGTGTATGCTTCTTCCCTTCGGCTTCGTCGTTTCAGCTGTCTTCATCATGTGCAATTGAGCCAGGAGCGGGGATCGAACCTGCAAGCTTCGCCTATCCGGGGCGACGCCCTAACCGATTAGGCCATCCCGGCCGTTGGTTTCGACGGACTAGAACTTTGACCAGCGTTCCGTGTACTCTTAGTTTAGAATTCGATTAAGTGGGTAGACGACAGCCGTTGCGGATTTAAAGCCCATGCTGGTTCCGAGTTGCGGCAGTGACGTGGCAAGTCATTCAAGCTTGCAAGTGTCGGAAAGGGCCCGTCTTTCAAGGTATTTAAAAAAACCATTCGTACCCATGGGGACAGGCTGCACCGTGTATATATTCTCCTTCCTTCCCCTAACATGAATAGAATCAATTCAATAATTACCGTCTCCTCATATATATATATATACATATATATATTTTTATTAAATTTTAATAAAAGACGAGAACACTTAAGACGGCTAGCCTGTAGGAATGTGAAAGCAATCCTATAAGCAGCATATTCCTACAAGCTGCGCGCTGCGCTGAGCCCGGCCGGGCGACCTCTCCGGACGCTGCCCGCGCGGGCTCTGCACAATGGCCGGCTGGCCGAGCCGGCCACCCTCTCCCTCTTACCGGCGAACGGTCCAGGATACAAGGGAGTTAATTCTTCGAGAGCGCGCGCCAAACCACATGGACCACCGTGACAGTGGATTCCGACTTCAACAAGGTGCTGCGTATCTGTGGCCACGACGCCGCATAATCTTCGGCAAGAGTTTCGCCGTATCAACAACGTCAACAGTCACATCGACGTCGCCACGATGTCGATGTCGATGTGACTGCAATAAACGGCGCCAGAAATGTTGCCGATAGTTTATAGGGCGAAAACATTCTTGACGAGGAGGAAGATCAGTCCCGTCGAGACAATATCATATTTTTGGCGTTAGTGACACCATATCAGAAAATTAGGCCCAGACGGAAGAAAGAATGTTGAGCGCTTTGCGAGCGTGCCTTGGCATGCCAGTCACGGGCGACTCGATTGTTCGGGCTCATCGTTTCGGAAGTTTTTTTTTACGAAAAATTCCGGCCTATAATTATGAAATTTCCGTCATTCAAACTGCGGGACCAGATACTTATAGCAAGATAAGCATTAAAAACGCACCGTATTACAATTAGCGAAGACTTTTTGCTGGCTACACGTAATGCGAGAAAAAGACTGCTAGAATTTTGTAATGCTAACGGATGAACGTTTAAGCTTAGGTACAACAAGCTGCACATTAACAACCGGTGTTACGCTTTCAACTCGACAAATGGCGAAGTCTACGAGCTAGGTCCTTCTAGTTTGCCTATTGTCTCTCCCGCACAGCCGACAATTCCCCAGACACAGTCATCTCTTACTCAAGATTCCGCTGAGGCGCGCTCGCCAACGAAGGATTTGTCGAGGGGTAGAGCTAGGCTGTCGCAGTTTTCCGACATCTCTGTTTTGTTCGCTAACATAAAAGTGTAATAAAAAAACGTGATGAATCGTGCTCCATCATTGATACTACCGATGCTGTTGTTGTTTTTCTAACCGAAACACGGCTTTTTGGGAAGGTACGGAACAGTGAACTCTTTGATGGGTCAAAAAAGTTCAATGTGTATCAAAATGACAGACAGAACAGGTGTGGCGGTAGCGTTTTGATTGAAATTGCTGAACGTATTATATTTTGTTCGTTTAAGATGGCGTGCGATATAGAACTAACCTTTGTCGGCATTGTTTTGAACCATAAGAAGTGGATCATGACAGTATGTGATCGGCCACCCTCACCTTCGTCATAATTTCTTGAGACTTTGCATGACGTCATTAACACCATAGTGATGCGGTATTCCAGCGCACCCATCTTCCTTCTCGGTGACTTCACTTTTCCCGTTCATAGTATGAATGTACTGACTAGAGAGTATAATTCGTTCATTAACTTGTGTCTGGATTTTAACCTTTCGCAATTAGTTTTTCATCCCACCAGAGTGTCTGCGAGGAGAGCAAGTGTTTTAGATTTAATATTGACCACTCACACTGAGCATGCAAGTGACATCGCTTATTTTCCAGGGATCAGTGATCACTCTATGCTACATTTTCTTTTCAAAATGTCGGTATCTAAGCCGACTTTCTAACGAAAGAAAATAAGCGATTACAGTAGAGCAAATTTTAATCAGATCAACAATGATATTGCAGTTTTCTTTGGCCAGTATTTATCAGACTTTTCAGGGCGCTCTGTTAATGAAAACTAAGATTTGCATAAAGATAAGTTAATCTCCCTTATCGACAAATACGTACAGCTACAAAATATACTTGAAAATAATCAGTCACCTTGGTTCACGAAAGCCCTGAAGAGACTGTCAAATGAAAAAAGCGCTTGTACCGTGCAGCCAAGTTTTCCTCGTGTGAGCGTCACTGGGCCGCGTATCACAGTTCTGTAGGAGTGTACAAAAAAGTGATTTAAAGCGCTAAATTTCACTTTTTCACACATAGTCTTCAAGACATGTTGGTACATAACCCCATTAAATATTGGAATACTACAAAAAGGTTCGTTTTTCAATTTGTCTTAAAGCTTCAAGTGGTGATAGCGTGCCCAGTGATGAATGTGCTAGCGTCCTAAATAGTATACTTATGGATTCGGTCTCTAACATTTGCGACATAACTTACCCTTCGATGAACTGTTCCTGTTTTCTGCCAATGGATGCTATCTTTGTTGATCCTGCTGGTATTGCAAAATCTATAGATAAACTGAAGTTATCATCGTCACCAGCAGTAGACAGTGTTATTCCAAGTTTTTGAAAAAGACGAAATTATACTCGTCTCTTATTCTTTCCAAATTGCTTGAACAGTCACTGCAAGATGGCATTTTGCCTTGTGATTGGCGGGTGGGGAAGGTGGTTCAAAATCAGAAAGGTGGCCATAAACATTCCCTAACAACTATCGTCCCATTTCATTAACAACCATACCATGAAAACTTCATGAACTCGTTACCTTTTCCCAACTCCTACATTTCCTAGAGTCGAATAATTTCTTTACTGAAGCGCATCACGGATTTCGTAAATTATGATCTTGTGAAACTCAGCTCCTATCCTTCACTCACGACATTCTACCTATTCTTGACCGACGTTCCTGAATGGACTGCATTTTCTTAGATTTCGGCAAGCCATTCGATAAGGTGTGTCACGAGCTGTTACTGATAAAACTTTCAGAACTTAAGATTAACCCTAACGTTCTCCCATGAATTCGGTCTTTTCTGAATAACTGCACACATGTCGTAGCAATAGTCACCGAAAACTCTCCTTCTGTGTCTGTGAATTCTGGAGCTCCTCAGGGGTCTGTTTTAGGCCCACTACTAATTTAATTTATATTAACGATCTTCCCAATGATGTGCCTCCATCCGGTTGTCTTTTCGCCGATAACTGTGTAATATACCTTGAAATCTGTCATGATTCTGACCTGTCTGCACTTCGGTCTGATATTAACTCTGTCTCTCCTTGGTGTGAATTATGGCCAATGAAACTAAACACTAGTAAATGTAAACAGATGAGAGCATCCCGCAAACTTAACAACAGTTCCTGTTACCACCTAGATGGCAACCTTTTGGAGCAGGTGGCAACGTACAAGTACCTTGGTATTCACTTAACGGAGAACCTTTCATGGTAACCCTATATTCAGTAAGTTACTACTAGTGCTGACTGCATGTTGGGCTACTTAAAATGCAACTTTTCATTGCACCTATTTCACTAAAACTGATCCTCTACAAAACATTCATCAGGCCTAAATTAGAATATGCAGCCTCCATCTAGGATCCCGGTCACGATACTCTATACTTCGTTTCAGCTTCGGTCCAGACGCAGCCAAACCTACAAGCGCGAGCTCCGGGCTTTCAGCATCCCTGCCAAGCACGCGCGCTCGTGCAGTGCAAGCACTGCTCTGTGCCACATGCTCGCGCTTGTAGCATCGGCTGCGTCTGGACCGAAGCTGAAACGAAGTATAGTCCCAGCATTGGAATTCATTCAGAATAGGTCAGCCCTTTCCATCGTTCTTAACTACCATCGTACTGCTAGTGTCACTTCGACAAAAAAAAGTTTATGTTTTCCACTTCTCTCCTTGCGACGTGAAATTTCACGCCTATGTCTATTTCACAAAATGTATTTTTATAATCCTCTTGTACGCAATCTCATGATTGCTTCCCCCTTTTTGCATTTCATCCCGTCTTGACCACCAGCATAAACTTGGAGTCCCAAGTTCGTTTACCACAACATTTCAATCTTTTTTTTTACCCCGCACAGCCGAGAAAGGAAACCACCTCCCCGGTTTTATTGCTATTATAACTAATACTAGCCAGTTTAAAAATTCCATCACTAACTACTTTAGCAGTGAGCCATAACGTGTTATTTTTCTTTGTTTGTTGTATATTTAATAGTGTTGACTTGTTACTATATTACTGTCTTTGTTTTATGTATGTGCTCTCCCCCTTTGTGATTGCCTTCGGGCCCTCAAGGTACCTTCAATAAATATATATATAAAAAAAAATAGTGAGGGCTTCTTTGCGGGGTGGCGTCCTTGGAACTATACGCGTCCCGGCAAATGTATATATAGGAGCCGTTTCGCTGGGAATTTCTTTCGCGTTGTTTCGCGGTTACAGACGCCGCCGGCTCCGCTCTATGAGAGAGTTAATAGGGAGTTTTCGTAGATCGTTTTCGCCGTCCCGCAAGGCCCTCCGCAACCCGCTACGATAGCGGGAACTCCACAGTCAAGGCTATCGGCGCGCAGGCGCAGTAGCAACTTCTTCGTTGCGGAACGCTTAGCGGAAAGGGCAGCGCGGTCTACGAAAACTCCCCAATGCCTTCGCATTATAATAAGCAACGGATTGATAATTCCCCAAGTGATTGAGTGTTGTGCTTGCATTCTGAAACAGTAACGTCAAGCGAGGAGCGGAGGAGATAACGACGAGAACGAGGAATGCCGTGAGGAAGGTGATCCCCTGCGATGTCCTGGATCCCAGAGTCCTTCCAGAAGAGCACTTGGAGAAGTTCGACGTGGTCCTCTCCTGCTTGTGTCTAGAGAGCGCTTGCCCGGACGAAGACACCTTCCGCAAGGCGGCGCAGAACGTCGGCAGTCTCGTTGGCGATGACGGCCTTTTGATTCTGTGTGGCGTCCTCGGCTGCCGCGAGTACACTGTGGGTGGAGTCACCTTTCCCTGCCTCTATCTGACGCCGGACATGGTGAAGGATGCTCTAGTGCGAGCGGGTTTCCAAGTCAAGCTGTGGCGTTGCCTGGAAGAGTCTGTACGCTCATCAGCGATTATCGAGTCCGCGTTCGTCGTCATGGCCGAGAAGCTGTGAAGCGATGCCCAGTGATTGGTCCTACGGGCATTCGCCGTTCAATTTATTTGTGCGTGCAGGTCAAATAAGAATAGCGCGGTTGCGCGGAAGCGGGATAACCGTCCAAACGTCTGATACTGGATTCGTCCCAGTTCATTGAATGGTGTTAGTTTGTTACAGAGATCACTACTTCGTACTTACATACACGCTGCTCCTGAATAAATGTCATTTTGTCGTTGTTTGCAGTCACCGCGTCTGGCTTTTTATTTTTTGCCGGGTCCTTTATAAACTAATTTCTTGCAACTGGAAACGCGTCCTCGAATCGGTTGAAGATACGTTACTAAAGTAACGCAATTTTAGTTTACACGGCCTTGACTTCCTTAATTAGGTTTGTTTTCGTCGGCCTACACAAGCTTATGCTTCAAATGTTAATCGCAGACGATATTCAGAAACCCCTAGATTGATTCTAACAATCGGAAAGTCGGATATATTTTTAGACCAAAAATAACATCGAACGTTAATAGAGTTTCTACATATCACATAGTTATCGAAGGGGCTTTTGAAATATGATTCATATTTCCTTAGACTCGTGAAAAAATATAGTTATACAATTATACGTTACTTTCATAATCACATATTCGGTAGACAACCACTCGATTTGAGGAACGCCGATATAGCTTTATTGAATATTTAGTTTCTCAGTTGTCTATGCCTTTCCTAATGTTTGTTGATTCGTGCTACCGCGCTTTGTATACCCTTATTTCAGGGCGTCGCTGAGGTCACTTGGAGTAGCAGGTGTTCGGGGAGTGGCGTCTTCATGCGCCTCAAGCCAACTTGACTTAAAGAGAAACTCTGCCGATATTTTCGATAGTCTTCGCTTTGGCTGGAAATCGGCACACCACATCAATAAACTTTTCTCAACTGGTAGCCAAAATATTTTATTGAAGAAACATACTTTTCGCAAAGTTATTGCAGTTTTAAGTGACACCGGACGCAAGGGTTCCAGGAGGCGACTCTCCCCTCGCAAGACTGCAAAATCCCTACATTTATCTACCCGCGTACGGCACGGGTGAGCAGGCGGACGAGCGACCCGGACAGTCGCGAAGTGGCTTTCCGGGCGGCAGCGATCAAGATTATTTTTTTCGCAGCTTCAAGGTTAAAAGTTACTTTGCAATGGGTAGCAATCTGTGCTCCGCGGTGATTGTAGGAGCAGTGCCGAGAAAAGCTCCTTTCTTACCCTTTTCTTGGGAGAAACAAAATGCGCACCCCGGCAGCAAAGGATGGCAGCCACATCAAGGCAATTGCGCGAGCTGTGTGCCGAGAGAACTATTGTCACATAAAGCATTCTCAGTTATGCTCGGAATACTTTATAGCCGCGTGCTGCGAGTTGAGTGTTCTTCTGCACCTGGAACCGCTTGAAGAGCGGCAAGCGCAGACTCAAGCCGGCTGTGACCACTATGACATCCGTCCAAAGAGGAGCGCTAATTATATAGAAAATTGTGCGCATTCTAGCACTCTTCGCGACTCCAGCAAGACGAACGGCACCTAGCGGAGAAACACTGAACTGGCCGGAACAGGTCCCTTCGCGATTTCTGCTCGTTTCTTCTGGCTTCCGTGTTCCCATGTTGTCGGTGGTTTGCGCGACAGAACAGTTCTACCGGTGACTGTGTCGTAACCGTGGCATCGTCTTGTGACCCAGGTCGCTCTGCACGCGACCTATGGAACCGCGTGTGTCAGACACTGCATTTTTCAACGTTCATCAGCACCGTGGAAGGACAGTGGGCAGTCCTTTCCTCGTTTGTGAGATTTACATTTTACACCTGCGTTATTGTTTGTGAGAATCACAGTTTACACCTGCGAGTTCAGAGCCCAGCACGCGCATGATCGCCGCTTTGGAAGGCGAGCAAAGCACGCGCAACACACACGAACGCTGAAGATGGCGCCGACCACAAGCGCTTTTCTGGAATGGTCTATAAATATTTTCTTAAATAACTTTAGCACCAAGGAGCATATGCATGCCACAAGAGTAGTTAGTTACACGTGCTGGTGTCTGCAGCAGTAACTTTTCTAAAGAAAATCTAAAACAAATGACACGTTCTTTCGGGTAACACGACCGTGTGGAGCATCTGTTCCCGTATTCCGAGCATTCTCCGTGGTACTTGGGAAATTTGTCAAAAAAATGTATTGCTTGACTCGTCGATATTTCTTCCCCAGCGTAACTGCCACGTTCTCATAAAAGAATAACGGATTTGCTAGCGATTTCACGAAACTAGCGAGCCGTGGCTTGAGCGTACCGAGTTGCAAAAACGATTCTCTCAAAATCTGAGTTGCTTCTGTTTTTTTTAGTTTATCATAGTTCAGCACGTAGGCCAAGGTCGTACTTTGTGCAGCTAGAGATTATTATAGCAGGGACGCCCATGTGTTCTCGCTATTTGACACGAGAAAGGCGGTCGCGAGCGTATTCAATTGCCGACCGCGAGCCTCGCTGCCCGCCGGTGACGCCACGTTTGGATGACGGGGAAAACTAGAGAAAAAGTGGGGAGAACGATGTATTGGTTTTGACAGCGAACAAGCTATAACTTTTTTAATTAACCAGAATGAATGTGGAGGAACGAGATAGCATTTCGGAATCAGGCAAGCCATCCGCTTTCAGATGATGCCTTTGGATTAAGTAGCGCAAATATCGGCGGAGTCCCCTTTAAAACGCTTCCCCTTCAGGTGCGCAAGCCGCATCCAGCCATCTTTACGTCACGTGACCACTAATGTGGGAAACGGGCAAGATGGCGGCGACTGGAAGGCGTTATTTCCACTGCCGTGGGTTCAGCTTTACCGCTCTAGTCCCGTAGAGCTTGTTGTGGTTTTCACGCTTTCCATCGGCGTTCTCGTATTTCTGCGTCAGCATTTGCCTGCTGAGGAAAAGGGAAGCCAATACCACGGGGACACGCCAGCCCGAGTCGGTCGGGCGCGCGCAGTTCCGACAGATAGACTAGGCCTAAAACGTCGGTCAACCACTGAACACCACCTTGTTACAGCAGATTAATTCTCATGAGAAAAAACGTTTTATAGCACTTATAAACCTTTCGTTTTATATTTTTAGTTAAGAAAACTAACCATGCGTCTGCAAACAGCCTTGTTCCGTTGACTGCACGCCGACTGACTCGGATGTTCTAGAAGTCACGACCGACTTTGCTTCCGCTAAGCCCGGCCCTGATTGCTCTCTGCTTGGCAAGTCACTTCTGTCGTCGGCGCCGAGATCTGTCCGCGACAGACTTTGGCCCGAACCGCGTTCCACATTGCTTCGGACGTCCTCCGGTAACCAGTCCGACGCGGGTGACGTTCACCAATGCCATCTACACTCCAAAAAAAAAGGGTGTACACACTTTCGTTCCATATAATGCAACCCTAAACTTCAGTTTGACACACAGCGCATTGACGTCGAACTCACGGCCCCAACTTTTGAGAGGGGCTCGATAACGGTGTGACCTAGCTTAGTAAATAGTTCAAATGTGTATCAAAAACTAGAGAAAAAACGAGCAAACAGATTTTACGCTACAACCAAGAAAACTCCCATTAATTAATATTTTATTTGTAGACAATACCACATACATTAGCTATATTAATAAGTTGTGCCTTTCGACTATCAACGCGCTCGTGGAAGTTGGTACCGTCAGTCTGAAGTTTTGGAGTGTATGATATGGGACAAGGGGTGTTAGAATATACCCCTTTTTCGTCAGAGTGTAGAAGACAATGCCCGGCCATTCTCCCTCAGATGTAATTACCAGTGGACCCACGTAGCGCCGCCTTGTTTGCTTGAGCATCGCAACCAGTGCGTCTCATAGCCTAGTGCAGGGGTGGCCAAGCTGCGGCTCTTCGCGTGTCAAAGTGCGGCTCGCAGGGATCCCCCCTACGCCCCCTCCCCCCCCCCCCCCCCCCTGGTCACACGAGCACTTTCCCCAAAAGAGAAATGGAATACGTTTTAAATGGAAAGAGAGGTAGAGGTTTGGTACTCTTGTGCTACTGCTACCTTACGAGCAGTTAGATCGTTTTTTACTCGGATACATTGAAAGTAGTTCGAGTTTCGTTTACTGCTCTAGACTAGAGATTGCCCCCCCCCCCCCCCCCCCCCGCGTCTCTTGGAGGTTTCTTGGTTTTGTTTGCGGCTCTCAAGCCGGGTCAGCCTGGCCACCCCTGGCCTAGTGGATTCGAAACACTCCACAGAAACGAAGACAAAATAGAAGAATGTACACAGGACAAGCGCTTACCCTCAACTGAAGTTTTTATTGAAAAGAAGCACCGGAGTAAACAACAGCATTCCACACGATCGGGGCCAATTTAGCACGTGTCGAGATAACATATATCTTTGCTATGTAGAAAGACCGTTGTTTGGCTTACACATTGGGCAGTCCCTTTTTGGATTGTCTGGGCCTCTAAACTTTCCTTAGTCATCTCATCTCCCCCTTTCCAGCAAATGTGAGTGATGAAAGTTGGGCTGTCATCCACAATCTGCACAATGAAGCGGCAAGTGCCCCCTTCGCTGTGGACCGCACAGACCGTTTCCGTTTATAAATAAGCCCATTTGGCCGACGTGTACGTTTCTGTGCGTGAGCGTCCTATACATGACGCCCATCGTACATTCCACATATGTGTTCCCATGTTAGACTGAGCAAATGCGCAACATTTTTCATGGTGGTTCCGCCGTCCTAAAGAAATACAAATAATACGGAAACTTTATTCTTTGTCCGTAGATGTCGCCGACCGTAGTGTCCCTCAATACCCTTCAGTGTGCCTGAGCAGGTTTACAGGAACTTTCCACCTAATGAATGGGGATGCATACTCCATCAACACATTTTCCCATGATGGTTCCGCCGCCCTAAAAAAAAGACAAACAAACAACTGTTACAACCCAATGTTGAGTGAAGCGCTCCAGTGACTTATGAATTTTTTGCAGGACTTAACGCTACTTTCTCTTATCAAATCACAATTCCGTGGAAAAGAGCGGAAATATGCAAAAAGAAAAAAAAACGCATTTTATCACTTGATATCCAGAAA